TTAATTAAATAACAATTATAACCTTGTGTAAATTATTTAAAAATATATAAATAGTATTATACAAGTTTTATTATTGGGACAGTATAAACAGTCTGCTCCTTTAGTATTTGGTAATTGCAAAATAATAAATGGGAGTGAGCTATTTAAAACAGTAATTTAAAATGAAAATAGTCAATGAATTATATTTCATGTTTTAATAATAATATTTTGGCTGCACATGCATGAACCAATTAAAAATTTTAATTTATTTAAAATATTATCAATAATAATTATTATGTTGTAATGTACTAATGTTTGTTAATTATAAACAATTTATTTTGGTTTATAATTTATTTAACCATTTATTTAGTTTGTCATTTTTCATAAAGTTTTGTTATTGTTTTATAAATATTTAATGTTTAACATAAACAAAAGTAAAATTTATTTATAATTTGTAAAATAAAAATAAACTACAAAATTTGTTTTATAATTATTGACACATTTAAGCAAGTCGCTTTTTAAATTTCAAATCCACTGATTTGGGACTAATAAGTACCCCGCCCACACAATGTAAATCAGGTTTCTATAATAAATAATATTTAATTTAGTAAACATAATAAACTTTAATAGTAAATCAAACTCACCTGTGTAGCGTAAAACTTATACTGATCAACCAGATTGATCAAGGCTAATTTAATTTCGGTTTGTGCCAGTCTCATACCAATACAGTTTCGAGGTCCGGCCCCAAATGGCAAATAAGCATAACTGTGGTGGGTGATTTTGTCAGCCAAAAACCTTTCAGGTTTAAATTCATCAGGTTGAGGGAAATGTTCAGGGTCTCTGTGTAGGGCGTAGGTAGGAATGTGGACAATGTGGTCCTTTTTAATGGTGATACCCGTGCCCCGTAGTGTGTAATCCCTGTTGGCCTCCCTTTCCGTGGACACAGTGGCGGGGAATAGGCGTAGGGTTTCTGCGACGACTGCGTCCATGTATTTTAGTGACCCTAATGTGTCGTACGAATCAGTGTCTGATTTCTAATAATAATTATAAATTTAATCAGAAAATAATTGATTTACTCTATATAAATATACGTTAATTAATTAAATAACAATTATAACCTTGTGTAAATTATTTAAAAATATATAAATAGTATTATACAAGTTTTATTATTGGGACAGTATAAACAGTCTGCTCCTTTAGTATTTGGTAATTGCAAAATAATATTTTTATACAGGTAACTTTTATATAATAATTTATATTTTCTAGTCTAGCAAAATTGAACTTTAAAATTGGTATAACCCCGGTGAAAATTTCTACTACCTTTTGTTTTAACATGTTTCATATTTAATTTGATATTTATTTATTATTAAACTGTAATATAAGTTCTAAGTAATCAAATTATTATTTCCTTGGTGAATATAAATAAACATTGGATTCCCATGTTACAGGTGAACCATGAAATCCGTCTAATTTTTATAAATATAAATATCTTAAGCAACTTACAATGTGTTCAAGATACTTTTTAACTTCATTAAACAATTTTTGTTGAACATCCGGGTGTTTACCGATATGATAGAGACATAGGGATAGGGCGGTAGCAGTGGTCTCGTAACCCACTAATAGAAAGGCCACGCATTGCGATATCAACTCATCGTATGTAATGGCTATTAATAAAGTAATTAATGAGCTTGGTAAATATATTTGTGTGCCTAGAATACATACTCTTGCCAACCATATCGGGCGCCTGTATTTCCCCATACTTTTCGCTATCACTCCCAACATTCTTGTCATTCGATCCCTCCCTAAGCCCCGACATCTCATTCAAAATCAATTGCAAAAAGTCCGCTCTTTTGCATCCCTTTCCCATTTGTGTCTCACGTTTTCTCTCATCAATTAATTTCAACGCAAACTCTTTGAAAAACTCGGTGACAGACGTGTCGTATAGGGGTATCCGTAGGAGTTGGGCCACTTTGGGTGCCAATGTGACCAAGGTGGCTGTCAAATTGAACCCACCTGGGTCAGTCATTTTGCGGACATACTTTATGATGGGGTGGTTAACATCGGTAAGCGCCGACACTTTGCTGCCAAACGCCACTTGTATTATAGCCTCCATAGCGTAGGCGCCCGCCAGTTGTTTCATATCTACCGGTGCCGTGAGTTCGCCATTACTTTCGGCAATGATTTTGTCTAAATTATCGGTCAATGTGTGGACACATTCACGGATTAAGGGAACCATTTGTCGCAGTTTTCCGGTCGCGAAAGCGGGGGATATGACAGTCCGGACACGTTTCCAGTGGTCGTCCCGTAAGGCGTCCACCATATTGTCGATCAATGGGTCGCCACCTGTAGTCACGTCCTGTACAACAATTAATTAATTTTATTATAAAGAACTGTAAGTTTATATTTATATATTACAAGTTAAATTTTAAATGTTAACAACTAAAAATAAAAATAAAAACTTTTAGAAATTGTAATAAAAATTTATTTTATATTAGCACTAATTTTAAGTTTTTAATATTAGTTAATTGGATTCACCACAGTAATAATATTGTTTTTATTATTTTATAATAATACTGTATAATTTTGAAATTGTATTAAGGTAATTTGATATAAAATACGCAATGTTAAACATTAACTTTTAATAATGATTACATTTTAGTTTTAAATTTACTTATAAACTTGTTTTATTAATTTATTAACTGGGATTAAGTTAAATATTTACCTGGAGTGAGTGACAGTGTGTGTGAGTGAATGTGAGTGAGTGAGTGAGAGAGAGAGAGAGAGAGAGAGAGAGATTTTAAATATAAAGAGATATTAAAATTAAAATTATTTTATATGCTAGTAAGCTCTAAATTATTTTTATCATTATAAACAATGTATACAGTAGTTGCAATTAAAATTACACTGGATCATAGTTCTCGAGAAGCTTTTAATTATTTTATATGATTTTAATTATTAAAATTATATCAAACATATGACATATGACTGACCCGTCTATTAGTGAATATATGGAAGTCTTTGACCAAAACCTCGCGAATGAGTTCCGGATCCGAGAGATAGAGAACCGGTTTTCCCAACTCATAGACACCGAAACACTTGCCGTTACGG